TTTTGAAATCGATGCAGCTCGAACACAAAATGGACTGCATTTTGCAATTTGGAGCTATAAATTCTGGCTCCTCTAGAAAAACACCCATGTGCATAGGGAAACTAACGGCACAGACGTTGTTTTTAAACCGGGCTAGAATTTATAGTTCCGAATTGCAAAATGTAGTTCAAATGGTGTATTAAAATGGAAGAACATTTTTGCCTATACATACGCGTATAGGGCCCGCGAAGCGCCCTCCCGGGGGTTGGGCCGCGTAGCGCCAGCGGTCAGGGGGCAGGGCCCCGTAGTTTCTTATAATTTTTTTCTGGCATGTGAAATTGGATGAAAATTGATTTTAAAGTGAGAAAATGTGCCGCCTTGTGACGTCATCTTGCGGCATTTCCCATTTAGACACATGTATTTTAGCAGAATCGATTTTTTTGTCATATCTCCATCAATAATTCCTCAATTTATGGATCAAGGGTATCTTCTTGTATTCCGTTCAATTGGTATATTCCATCTAAACACGAAATTCACCTTTCAGACCCTTGCAAATTCTCTATTCTGTATTGCTTCATCTGAGAGTGGTTCATGAACTGAGTTCGCGGTATGTTCTATTATTTCTTCTGAAATGGGCAATTGTATAAAAATAGATTTGAGAGTGAGTAAATGTGCCGCCTTGGGGCGTCATGCTAACGGACGATCGATCTATTTTGTTCCGTTTTATTTACGAAGAGGGTACTGGTGCGGTTAATTTGAGCTCCTTAAGTAATGATTGAACGCGGTTAATGTGCTGTTGATTGACGAGTGACGATTCCTCAACGAAACTGATTCTCATATTCTCTGAAGTGCTCTATTGATAAGCAACAGATCACTCGCGAAAACCAATCATGCGTCCTTCGATTCGGGCCACTTCAGAACTTCTTCCCGCAAAGCGAAGGCGGTTGCAATTTTCGTCACTCCTCTGACGTAAGGGCGTATCTCAATGTCCTCATGAGGCCCAGAAATCATGGCGCTATACGGAGCACAGGGGTCACGAGGAAATCGAGATACGCCCTTACGTCAGAGGAGAGACGTTTTGTCTCTACGCGCGCCTCAGAGTCTCTGTTCCCCGATCCCCAAAATGCCACAAAAGTAAACCAAAATTCTTCACTTGCCGAAGCACACTTGCATTATCTTAAAGAAAATTTTTCTTTGACTTCTTGTTCAAGTTCTTCCCCATAGCTCATAGCGTCTTCTTTCTCTTTTTGAGAGGCAAAAATTCATCAAATTTTGCTAAAATTTCCATCATGTTCTTTTTTCAAAGTTTTATTTCACTAATTCCATATTTCCTGTGAAATACAACGCAAGTACAAGCAAAGGATAAATTAAACGCTACACCTGAGACGAGACTTATTGAGTGTAAATAGCAAAAAACAAAACTTTTTTTTTTTTTAAGGATTGAGGGGGAACGTTCCGCAGTGAAGAAAACATGCATGGACATAGAAATAATCATGGACATTTTTATTTCCTCTACCTCATAAATGAGGACTTAGAAAGCAATACCTGCTATATCCAATGCCTCCATATGGTGAAAATGTTTTTTCCTCCTCTTTAGGGAAGAATTATGTGAAGCATATACCAATACATTCTTTAGTTGTTTTTGTGGGGGAAAATAAAAAGGAACCGAAAAGCTGAATAGTGTGTGTTATTGTGTTTGATTGCCCCTGTGGCGAGTGAAAAAAACATTGGCATTGTCTAAAAAGGTTGGATAATCACCTGCAGTTGTTGCTTTTGACAGCCTTTAAATGCAATTTCAATTCTTTCTGGGCAACTAAAAGGAGAGGACACACATTTTGTGCACATCTNTATTTCCTCTACCTCACAAATGAGGACTTAGAAAGCAATACCTGCTATATCCAATGCCTCCATATGGTGACAATGTTTTTTCCTCCTCTTTAGGGAAGAATTATTTGAAGCATATACCAATGCATTCTTTAGTTGTTTTTTTGGGGGAAAATAAAAAGGAACCGAAAAGCTGAATAGTGTGTGTTATTGTGTTTGATTGCCCCTGTGGCGAGTGAAAAAAACATTGGCATTGTCTAAAAAGGTTGGATAATCACCTGCAGTTGTTGCTTTTGACAGCCTTTAAATGCAATTTCAATTCTTTCGGGGCAACTAAAAGGAGAGGACACACATTTTGTGCACATCTGAAATGAAATATAATTTTCTATAAAAGATGCATGGTGTTTGCTCTGAACAAGCGCGATTTGCACTCCGTGAGGTGCATCTACATAATGGAAATGAACCAACTCTGAAATGTTATATACATTTTGCTGAAATTCTGTTTGTTCCCTGTTTTTCTTACATGAACAAAAGCAAGCATTAAAAAACGAGAAGTATCCGTATTCAATGTCCAAATAAGGGTGATTGCACTAATCGCAGTGAAGTGAGTGGCATGGTATTATGACTCAAAGATGAGTCATTTCACGTAAGAGCACTGACTCAAAGCTATACGCACGAATACACACCGCGACTCTCTTGGAAGCTCATGCCAAAACAGTGAGATGATTTTCAGAGTGCAAAATAATATCTGACGTTCTCATTTGTGCATGGAAACTGACTGCAATAGTCGCGATGGGAAGGGGGGGAGTCGATTTTTTTTTTCTCTTCCTTAAGACACATAGTGGCGTATTTGGCATGAACTTTACAGTTCACAGTGAGAAGAATGCGCACTGGCTTTTGTTAAGAAGTTGCTGATTCTGAAATCGAGACTGAAAAAACGTGTGCTTTTCGTCTGGCGCTTCGAATTAACTCAAAAGTGGTTAATCGCCACAAGTCCAAATTTATTCGTCAGGACACTTTGAAATGTAACTATTATTTGGCGTTTTAGCTGAACTATTGGTACACAACAAATTCTGTCAGTATGTATGTTGATCCTCAACACCTTTTAAAAGGAAATGAGAAATGACACCTTAAAGAATCAACATTTCTCTGATAGAACGCAACGACCTGGTATTGTGAAGGATGCTTTTGCGCTCTCCTGCCCTGACCACCCTGTTCAACGACCTAGTATTGTGAAGGATGCTTTTGCGCTCTCTTGCCCTGGCCACCCTGTTTCATCGTAACATTTAAAACTATATTTCAAATACTAGCTAATCAAATTTAGCCGACCATCCAAATGCTAGCCGCAACATTACGTAATATCATGACGAGAAGCCGTTCCTTCTGGCTCTGGAATTACCGACGATTTGTAAAGGAATTAACGTTACATTCCTCGAACCAGCTCGCACCGTGCATAAGAAATCGTCATTCTATCACAGATGAGAAGTGATAGCACCTGATTTTCGCTTATTTCTTCCCTGCAAAGCTGCCGTTTCCCAAAATTAAATGTATAATAATCTGCGAATAGCATCTCGCATTTCACTTCTCACTAAAACCTACGATCAGTGCGGGGGCAACGGCATGTTCTGGGGACTCCTATTATTATGTTCATAAAAAAATCGTCCTTTTGGTCAAGTTATTCTCTTTGGGGGCAGCCTTAAAGTGTTCCAGAGCCTCACCTAAACACGACAGTGCTACCCAACCATGTCGAAAGTTCAATTTCTGCAGCACACACCGAAATTGCCTTCAAAATATTGTGTATGCAACCCCGTGACAACCGTGCTTGAATAGTTATCGCTCGGTTTAGATGCCAGCTTATCATAGAAAGCAAAGGAATCAAGTCATTAAACATTAGCATCTTGGGTGCCTTCGAAAAAGTGCGAATTGTGCCTTCCACGCACAACGATGATTGAAATAGAAACGATTGATGCTCTCTAGAAGCGCACACAGTGAAAGCGTTCATACTAGGAGGTGCAAGTTCGAGGATTAGGACATGCCTTCAACTTTCAGGGCACTCTCTAAGCTTTGCGTATCTTGTAAATCTGTCAACACGCAAGTGACCAAGCGCCAGTTGTAACGGTTTTCGTTCCACCCGAAATCAAAGGCTAGGGCCCTTGCACCGACCATTCGGCAACATATTCAAGTTTCGGTGCGCGTAAATCCCGATAGCCCTCTGGCATTGTATGGATTTCTCTGACTTGTCATAAGAAGCTGTAGACAAGCGAGACGAATTGGACTACACTTTCCATTAAGGTACCACTATTCCTTGCTCATTTTAGAAACCACATATAGACAGTATGTTGGAAATGGACCCCGGGGGGAAAAAATACACATCGGATCTAGAGTCCAGGCTCTTAAAAACATCGACAAGAAAAAGTACTCTTGATTCAATCAGATCTAAGCTTAAATCAAGAACCAAGCCACTTAATTTGAGCGGATTTCCCTTTGATTTAAGCTTAGACCTGCTTGAATCGAGAGTCCTTTTTCTTGTCAATGTTTTCAAGAGTCTGGACTCTATATCCAATGTGTTTTTTTTTCCAGTATAGCCAACATGCGTTAAAATCCAAAAACTGGAAATCTCAATGCAGAGGAGAAAAGCTCAATCGAGTACACTGAGAAAAAACTATGGCTTACAAACCTATTAGAGGTAAATATGGAACACCACTAATAGTAGTACCTCTACATATAATAATAGCACATATACCTTAGTCATGGTACGGGGTACCTTAATTAGGTACAGAGACCTTAGTATGGTTCACAGACCGAGAATCATTAGTTTATTTACGACTATTATAGGTGTTCCATATTTACCTCTAATAGGTTTATAAACCATAGTTTTTTCTCAGTGTACAATGTTCCCTCAGAGATTTAAGCTGTCTGGTGCAACGCTAGTTACGACCATTCAACTCATTTCCAACTTACTGTCTCTACGACTCGCGCATCTACCGCGATCAGTTTGTGTAAACAACGTACATGACATTGGATTCCCTATGCAGGAAGGCGCTTTTATGGAAGAGCTAGGAAGAGTGGTTCCTCATTGCAAAATGTAATCCAATTCTCGGTACTGAGGAGTGGGATTTGCTGAGACGGAGCCGATTCGTCTGAGCGGACTGGGACTGCGGTTGTTCCCCGGGTGTCGTGTGGCGGGAGTTGCTTACCTTGCACTGAGCGGCCGAGAGGACGGTGAAGACAACCAAAAGGCACAACAAGTATGGAGGCGACACCCTCATGTCACTGCGACAAAGCACCGCGGCTTACACGGCTCCACTCTAGAACACATGGGATTACACCTAAACGCACTGAGCACTCGACACCGGACACTGGACACTGCTAACGACGCGAAGACGAGGTGGCAACTGGCAACCGGGAGCGGAGGCAGGTTGGCCGGGGCCGGCCGAGGCAGTGGCAGTGGTAGACCCCCTGGCCCCACTCTGCACTCCTTCGGCGGAACCGGACCAATTCCAGAGTCCTTGTCCGCGGGCACTCGGGATCCCCACCCCGCGCTTCCCCGCACCTGCCATCGCGCCGCGCCGCGCCGTGGCCGATGCCGTGCACCCATCTCCCCGTTACCCACCCCTCCGCCGCCACCGCCGCCACCCTTGGGCCGCAGCGACCACCCGCTGCCCGCTCTGCCATCGCCCAGACTCACAGGCACTTCACTCCTTCTCCCGACCATGTTGCCGTCTTTCGTAAACATTGACTTTTTCTCGAGACAATGGGTCGGTGCCACTGCGGCTGTCCGCAGGAAAAACGATGGGTCGGTTCTGCCGTGCTAAGGAAGGACGCCGTATGAACCCTCAGGCGTTGCCAAATTTCCTTTCATAAAACGCGAATTTGCGGGTAAAATTATGAATATTTTTCTTCCGATCATTCGGAGAATTTGGTTCGTATTTTGATCTGAAGTTCCTGAAATTTTCAAGGAAAAATGTTCATATTTTTCCTCTAAAATGAACCTTTTATGATTGGAATTTCGATGACTCTCAAATGATCATACGGCGTTCTTCCTTAGCACGGCAGAGATGCACCACGGCTGCGTTCACCGGAAAAACGCCGCAACTCCGATCAAAACTTCCAATTTTTCTTCCATACATCACTGGGGAAAAAGAAAAAAAAAAAAACATTGGATCTAGAGTTCAGACTCTCGGAAACATTAACAAGAAAAAGGACTCTCAATTCAATCGGATTTTTGCTTGAATCAAAACGAAATCCGCTCAAATTAAGAGGCTTGGTTCTTGATTTAAGCTTAAATCTGATTGAATCAAGAGTATTTTTTCTAGTCGATGTTTTCAAGAGCCTGGACTCAAGATCCAATGTGTTTTTTTTTTTTCCAGTGTACTACGAGAAAACCTGGACACTATGATGCTTTATTTTGTGAATTTGACCTCTCAATGGTATGCCACAGTTATTTTAGAATTTGGAAGGATTAATGGTCGTTGGATTTTCCGTAATAAAACATTTAGTCAGTCAAAAGCTGACAAAATAGCTCTTACCCAAAATAATCGGTCAGCTGCACCTAGTAGTCTCAAAGATCGTGCTTTAATGGTTTAAACTTATTTATCATAAATATTTTTCTCTCAATATGAGGGAAGATTTTGCGCACCGTAAATCGACGCCATCCACCGCTTCTCTGCACATACCAGGATTTGTTTCACATTGGTTCCATTCAGTACGTAAGCGATGCACGCATTTCTATCGGTTGTTAGACATAAACGCGGAAACCATGGTGGAAGAAAGCACGGTACTGCGACGGTGGATGATGCCACCTACATGTGTTTTTCGATCAGCGACTTATTTCTTGTATTAGACGCAAAAATTTGCCGTTTAAGTGGATTTCTTACTTTTTTGCGGAGTGTATGCGTTAATCATCTGATGTCTAATGTCTAATATGTCTAATGCAACTGACCCATTAAGGTAAACTGTAACGTACGTGAGTATTCTTCCGGTCAAAAATGAGTCACAGCCGCCCGTCTCCATCCTTGGTTTTTTATTTTCCTTCAACGTCAATGTCCCTCCAACGTCAACATCAAGTTCTTTTGCCAAAAATGTGATCCTCGCAAGTCCATTTCTTAGGATGCGACTATTTCGACACGACTCTTTGCCTACTCTTTGAAATGAAGGCGAATCACACTCTGCGGCATCAGCACACTGTTGAACATAATAATATTCCGTCGCCACGTTGAAGATGCGATCGAAGCAACTTGGACTTTTCTTTTAGGCGAACTTCACCAGACTGTATTTGGTTATAAATGACTCTGATTTACTCAAAGTAAATAAAAATTAACTGTAACTGACTCTGAATTACTTGAATATCTTCTCAGTTGAAGTCTCATTCGGCTTGATTCCCGAGTCAATTGATGGGACTGATTTTCTGTGTGAGAGCAGAATGGTATGATAGTGTTGTAAAACACTAAGTAACACAAGCTGTTGGTTGATTTTTTTTATGTGGGTTAGTTTTCCCTGTGTCATATCGACCAAATCTTTGTGTTGAAAATCTGCGACCTCCTTAAAAATTAGTCACCAATCTCCAGGATCGGAATAGGATCGCATCGGTGTAAATCCAGTGTGCCAGTCGCAAGTCGCAGCCTCTGAGTAGAGAGAGGAAAACAAAGAGTACACAAGTTCGGCAGGACACTTCCTTCATGATCCGATGTCTGTGAATAGCCTATAGTGTGGGTAGATTTAACACAAAACTGTGTTGAGCAACCCAGTCCTATAGGTTAACCTGGGTGACACACTGGCACATACCACACTGGGTATAGTCATTTGCCTGTTGACAATCTCGCTGTGTTCAAGGATGCTCCGAGATTGCTGACGGGGGTGCTGTCTCTCACGTGGCTTTGTCGCCCAAAGCTCGAAGGAGTCAAATAAAAAGTCCGAACTTTGGAGACCGAGGGGGTCTTATGTCTTGCGTTTGTTATGTGCTCATTGCACGCTCGTTGGTTCGTGCGTTGATAGAAATATTTGTATTCTTGTTTTACTTTTGATTAATAGGAAGTGAAACACAAACCAACACAAATTGTGTGTTAATTTTGTTTGCGTTGAATTTAGCGCAGAAACCCAGGAAGCTTCAAAATCGCGTTAAACACAGCACAGCGTCCCAACATTGAGTCGTAGGAAAGTCACAAAAAATATCGAGCGTACCGCACAACGAAATTGCCGTTTTCGCACAACCCAGGAAGCTTCAAAATCGCGTAAAACACAGTGTCCTAGCGTTGAGTCGTTTGAAAGTCACAAGAAATATCGCGCGAACCGCACAACCAGATGGCCATTTTCGCACTCTTAGGAATCTTCAAAATCATGTAAAACACAGCGTCCTACAGTTAAGTCGTTCGAAAGTCACAAAAAATATCGCGCGAACCGCACAACGAAATTGCCTTTTTCGCACAACCCAGGAAGCTTCAAAATCGCGTAATACACAGCGTCTCAGCATTGAGTCATATGAAAGTCACAAAAAATATCGCGCAAACTACACAACCAGATTGCCGTTTTCGCCCAACCCAGGAAGCTTCAAAATCGCGTAAAACAGAGCGCCCAGATTGAGTCATATGAAAGTCACAAAAAATATCACGCAAACCACACAACCGGATTGCCGTTTTCGCACAACCCAGGAAGCTTCAAAATCGCGTAAAACACAGCGTCCTAGCGTTGAGTGGTTCGAAAGTCACAAGAAATATCGCGCAAACCACACAACCGGATCGCCGTTTTCGCACAACTCAGGAGGCTTCAAAATTGTGTAAAACACAGCGTCCTACAGTTAAGTCGTTCGAAAGTCACAAAAAATATCGCGCGAACCGCACAACGAAATTGCCTTTTTCGCACAACCCAGGAAGCTTCAAAATCGCGTAATACACAGCGTCTCAGCATTGCGTCGTAGGAAAGTCTCTAAAAATGTACAGCGACTAATAAATCGCTCAGCGCACATGCGATCTCTCATTGCGAGAATGAGATCAATTTTGAGATTCCGAACGTGTCAATGACGTCTGGAGAGGCAAAATCTCCGGAGGCTAGCAAGATTGTGACCAGCACAGACGACAAAGAGGGAAGTTGCAGAATTATCTCCAAAAATAACGAATCAACTGAGAAAAAACGTACGGTAATTAGTTTTGAGAGTTACAATCAGCACGATGAATATACAAGTGGAGGGTAGTGAAAACTAAGGAGAAAGTGAACATTGGAATGAAGGTTAACAAATAGCCCTGGAAACACTCTATTTTACTAAACAGGACAGATTTGGATTTAGAGGAGGTCCAAACCGACAAATCGAAAGAAATTTCTATTCAACAAAATGAGACTCGGGAGAGGAAACTGGTGAAATTGTTCGAGAGCAAATGCCGAGGATGATACAATTTGATGATATTAAAGATTTGGAAGCAGCTTTTTACCATGAGAAAGCGACTCCTACAAGACGGACAACAATGTTAGAGAGTTAGATACTTCAATATCTCTCTCAATTAGTGTAATTTTCAACCAATCTTTGAACTTTTCTTACCATTCCCATAATTTTACTTCCTTGAATCAGCAGCATAACTACAAGGGTAATACTTTAATTTTGTACTTACGATGTGTCACTTGAGTTCGGTTTTTTTCCCTTTTTCGGCTTCTAGTTTTTGGCTGATGTGATTTATCAGCATTTTCTATATATGAACATCCTGGTTCTTTTGCTGGATGAGATACCTCAGAATCATTTGCAGATATGTTGTCCTTTTCAATCTCAGTGTTCACTCTGTACAGAGAAAAAAGGTGGTTAGTTTCTTTTAAATGTGGATTGAGATCCCTTTGCGTTGGATGTAAGTACCGTTGGTCAAAGAAAAAATCACATTGGAAACTTGCATAGGGTGGCTCTTATTTTTGAAAGTTGAGGAAAGTTCAGGTGAAGTTTACTCAATATATGCTACAATGTTGCCGAAAGAAGAATCTTTTTGTTAAAAATAAATTAAACGCATTTTTAGATGTGTCTCTGGCGCCTTGAAGGAGGCCCATCTAAATGTTGGTATTTTGGAAAGTGGATTGTTTTTTCTCAAGAAAAATAATCAAATTACAGTCGTTCATAAGTGAAATTTTGTCGATTTACCGTATCAACAGTTGGATCGCCGCAAACGGTCGATTGAGGTGCTGAAACCATTCTCTGACGCGAAAAAAAAACTTCAATAATCGGCTCACTGGACTCATTCTCTAGTCCGAGAAAGAAGAAAAAGCGTTGAAGACTCCATTGAATATCGATCCAAGATGAGCCGCGGGCTGATTGTTGAAATTGATTGACAAAGCGATAAACAAAGGAGACACAGAAAGTATGGAGCAATCCTATTGGTTGGCATGGGTGGCACCTATTGACTTAGGGAGAAATTGATGGTCCATCTATGTGCATGGTCTCTCGTGGGTTACCGATAGTTAGTCTATCACCTACCTTTTGTCCATCGCA